CAGCTTGTTCTAGTTTTTGAGATGCTCAAACTCCTGACTTGTCACTTGTCCAATTAGTGATTTGTTTCCCAAGCCATTTTGATAAGCACATGTGTCTGACTAGGCTCCAAAATGTATCAATGTTCCCTTTTCCATCCATTTTACCAAAGTTTTAAAATAACAAACAGCAAACCAGTGCATTGTGCAGACTGCTGAGGTTCTAGTGGTGATCAGGAGTGCAGACCTAGCCTCTAGCCTCCCAGAGTCCACAACCTTAAAGAAGAAAGCAGCGATAGTGGCACTGTAGCTCAAAGTGGTAGAGCACTAGCCTTGTGCTGAAGAGCTCAGGGACAGCACCCAGGCCCAGAGTTCAAGCCCCATGACAAAAAAGAAGAAAGAAAGAAAGAGAGAGGGGTTGAGGGAGGAAGCAAGCAAGCAAGTAAGCAGACACGAGAAATGAGATCTGTGATCATTTCAGGGAAATTCCTGTAGGAAGAGGTGTCTAAGCCAACCTCAGCTGGTTTCCCTAGGAAGATCCTGCCTGGCACAAGGTAGGGGCTGAAAAGAGCCAGGCAGGTTAGAGAGGCTGAATTGCTAGCTCTATCTGAGGTTAGAATAACCAGCCATGGCCAAAGCCCAGTGTGGAATGGATGTGGAATTGCTCCTAGAGTTCTGCCCCGTGCTGGTGATAGATGTTATTGCTGTTTCTCTTAGTGCCAGGCCAGCCTCTTTGGTTGATACAGTTTTGAGTTTGCACAGCTATTTGATTCATAGGCCTGCCTTAGGTCAGCCCTTTGAAATTGTGACTTGGGAGCGGTTTGGAATGAAGGGGAGGACTGGCTGCTTCCTTCCTTCTTGGTCACGTGCATAGGCAGGTGGGGACAGAAATGAGTGGGGTGGACACTGGCTGGCTCTGATATAGAACATGGAGACCTAGCTTGTCATTTGGGGGTTTCCATATCTTCAGTATGATCTGGTCACTCTTGTTTTGCAGATGAGTGAACTGAAACCCAAAAAATAAATTCACTTCCTGAAAGACAAACAGCCGGGTAACTAGCAGATTTGGATCTGCTCATCTCAGAAGTATGTGTTCTGACCATTCCTGTGAGAGACTGCTTTGAAGGTGTTAGCTTGTATAAGGCTGCTGTGGTCCAGGCTGTTAGAGTCACAAGAAGAAAGCAGAAATCCTCACTTGGGGGCAGGGGAAGCCTTGATGAAGAGATGGCCCACTGGGCAGAAAGGACAATTTAAGCTGAGGCCAGCAGTGTAGAAAACTAGGCCAGTAATTGAGGAATAGCTGTTGGGTGGGTAAGTGTCTCGGGGACTGGATGGGGCAGAGAAGGGATAGGAATGGAGATGAGCCTGGGAATGGAGGCTGAGGCCCAGATTTTAGAATTTGTCTCAGGGAGGGATGTGGATTGAAGACTGAAGGAAAGACCAGAGTGCCCTACCTCATGTACTAGATGAAGGTGACCTTCATGCCCTCAAGATGTTCCCAGGTGGACAGCAAATTAACTTCTTACACATAAGAAGTTGTGAGCCTCTGCAGAGAGATTTTTGGGCAGAAATGCCCTGGGTTTGGGCTGGGAAGGTGGCTCAGCGGTAGAGTGCATGCCTTGCAAGCATGAGGCCCTGGGTTCGATTCCTCAGCACCACATAAACAGAAAAAGCCGGAAGTGGCGCTGTGGCTCTAGTGGTAGAGCGCTAGCCTTCAGCTGAAGAGCTGAGGGACAGCGCCCAGGCCTAGAGTTCAGGCCCCATGACCGGCAAAAAAAAAAGCAATGCCCTGGGTTTGTCTGTGAGCTGGTACTGGCACTGAACTTCAAAACTGCAACTGACTGGAATCGTTTTGATTCTGACTCAGTGTTCCCATGTGCTAACAAACCCTCTTGGCAACCTGCCGTAGCAGAATTTGCAGCTTGGGATCTTCAGAAAGATGGCCAGTGACTCCTAGTGGGCTGAGTACTGATAAGATCCAACTACCTTTTCTTTTTTTTTTTTTTGAGAGAGAGTCTTACTATGTAGCCCAGGCTGGCCTCCAACTATATATCCTCCTGCCTCAGCCTGCTGGAATGATAGGTATGCACTACTGAACTTTACTTCCAAACTACTTTTTGAAGGCAATTTCAGTTAGTGGTGTGGAACTTCGTTGTCATTATAGGTCTCATTTCCCATCTACATTCCCCTTTACCTTACCACACAGGTTCTTTCCCTGGGGTCTGTAGATGGAATGAAGTGATTTTAAAAAGAGAATACACTATGTTTTTGTTAAATTTTAATTCAGCCTAGTAGAGGTAATAAGGTACAGTTGGCAAACACCTGTGACTTGGGGGCTGGTGGGAACCCCAGCAGGTAATTTTCATACCACAGGACAATTGTGGAGCTATCTGAACAAGCTGTTTATGCCTGCTATAACTTCAAAACTACAGTGATTAGACTTGATGCTAATGTCATTTAATACTTCAGTAGAGATTTAACACAATAAGCCTATTTGCCCTATCATATTTAAGGAAATTTTTGATGAGTATATTTAATATACAGTAGAAAGTTGGAATTTGCAGGTACGTGGTTCCAAGGAGACCACTGGTGGAGGAAAAACTGAGTGCTCTGGACGTGCAGAGTTCAGAGCTATACTACAGATGCTTAATTCATTTTCCCCATAATGCCACCTGAAAACTTGTAGCTTTTCAACAAACCTAAAATTTTCACTTCATCTCTTCAAAGCACCCTCATTTTTGCCTTGCTTTTGGAGTAGCATTTGCTCTTTTTGGAAGGCACATTTTCATAAAATTAAAGCCAGAGAAACATGCAGGAAATCAGACATTTGAAACACACTTGACATGAACACAGAACAGACAGAGTGAACTTCGTAATGTATACGTGAGAAATAAAAAATTTGGTTTGGAAATTTCTTTTGATTTTAAAGTTTTTTAAAGTTATCTTTGGACTTCATTTTGTCAAAACCATGTGGAATAAGTCTTTATAAGGCAGGCATATTGAAACTGATTTTCTTTATAATCACAATTTTTTTTTTTTTTTTTTGGCCAGTCGTAGGGCCTAAACTCCGGATCTGGGAACTGTCCCTCAGCTCTTCAGCTCAAGGCCAGCACTCCTACCACTTGAGCCTCAGCCCCACTTCTGGCTTTTTCTGCTTATATGGTGCTGAGGAATCGAACCCGGGGCCTCATGCATGCAAGGCAAGCACCCTACCACTGAGCCACCTTCCAAGCCCCTATTTTTTAAATTTAAAAGTATTGTTCTTTGAAAGAGAGTGGGCCTCCTCAAACCACCAAAGGGGCCATTGACTAATGGTTATAAGCTTCTGTCCTAATTGGAAGTTGGGGGCCTTTCTAAATATTTGTGATTTAAAATCATTTGCTATGGCTAGGCACCAATGGTTATTCCTATAATCCTAGCTACTCAGGAGACTAAGATCTGAGGATAGAGTTTTGAAGCCAGCCTGGGCAGGAAAGTCCGTGAGACTTTTATCTCCAATTAACTATCAAAAAGCCTAACATGGAGCTGTGGCTCAAGTGGTAAAGCACGAGCCTTGAGAAAAACAATAGAAGCAACAACAAAAAAAAAAACAGTTCAAGGAGAGTGCCTAGGCCCTAAGTTTAAGCCTTAGTACTGGCAGGTGCACACATGCACGCATGTACGCGCACACACACACACACACACACACAAATTGCTATTACTATTAATTATTTAAGTCTATGACATTGTTAATATATAGTTCCCTGCAAAGAACTGTATTTGAGATCTTTATAGATAGAAGGGAAAGGAATGAGTTAACCAGGCACAAAGAGGGGCAGCTGGGCCTGAGGGTCTCCAAGAGCTGGGTTCCCAGACTCTGAGGTTGTTGCTTGCCTTATAGTTACACTGGAAGTTACCATGCTGGATGCCACTGAAGTCTTGTTGCCATCTCAGGTGTGCTCAGGGCTGCCTCTGGGGCCCTGCATCTTAGCTGAGCAGTCCGCTGGGCTCCCGGCTGTCTTAGGTGTGGCTTACATTGCTGAAGGAGTCTGCTCAGCAGCCTCTGCTTAGAATGATCTCCCCTCTTTTTAACCTGTTCTTAGCTGTGTCCTCCTTGGATGTCTTGTCCCCACCTACATGTTCTTCAATCCTGGTCAGAACCTAAAGCTTTGTCTGAGCTTTACCTAGGTCAAGCTGTCCTTGTTCCAACATAATCTTGAGTCTTCCGAAAGTCTGGACAGGCTTCCCTTGGAAAGACTCACATGCCTGGAATTTGCTTATATGTCAGGATGTGTACTTCTCAAAGCCCACTTGAAAATGGGAGTCCAGGGCTCCTACTAGTACTGCCCCTACCCAGTAGTCATGTCCACTATGTCAGGTGCTCACTGTGTGCTGCTGCTGAGCTAAGAGCTTGTCTCTTTTTAACCTCTCCAAGAGGGAGTGAGAATTTCTATTATTATCCTCATTTTGTAAGTGAGGGAGTGGGGGAACTGATTCTTTCTTGGTAGTTGGGTGAGGGTTAAGTAACTTGTCCAAGGCCATAGAACTAGAACCAGAATAACTTGGTGGATTTTTTTTTTTTTTTTTGGTTGATTGTGGAGCTTGAACTCTGGGCTTGGGCGCTATCCCTGCGCTGTTCAGCTCAAGGTGAGCACTCTACCATTTGAACCACAGTGCCACTTCCAGTTTTCTAGTGGTTTATTGGAGATAAGTCTCATGGACTTTCCTGCATGGGCTGGCTTTGAACTGTGATCCTCAGATCTCAGCCTCCTGAGTAACTAGGATTGTAGGAGTGAGCCACCAGTGCCCAGGCTAGCTTTGTGGATTTTAAACTAAGCTATCTGATCTAGGAGGTTTAGGGAATCCTCCTGGCACCCCAAGCTCCCATGGACCACTTCCGGTCCATCCTTTTCCTAGCCCTGCCCTTTCCATTTGTGACCTTACTGTTGTGGGCATGGTGGCAAGGGGGTCCTGGAATGTGTTCAGGCTGCCACATGCTTGAGCCACCAGTCACTTTGGCCTCTTGTCTCTTGGATTTCTTGCAGGCAAAGCTGGTGCGGTACATCTGTAAGCAGCGGCAGTGCAAACTGAGTGTGGCCCCCAGTGACAGGACTGCAGAGCTCAACAGCTACCCACGATTCAGCGACTGGCTATACACCTTCAATGTGAGGCCCGAGGTGGTGCAGGTATGCAATAGACTCAAGCTGAAGACCAGAGAGGGAGGGACCGGATGAGGACCTCCCCTACACACACACACACACACACACACACACCTCAGAGCTAGCTTCACATGGCTAAGCCTCTGGTGGAATGCTCTGTTGGGAAGGGAACATGGTTGATGGGGTAGGAGGACAGGGTGAATGTGGTTGGTGCTATTGTTTTATAAACTGCACAGTCTGAGGACATGGGTCATTTATTTGCTCTCCTCGTCATGACAACAGCTACCTTTCCTGGAAGCTTTGGCTGTGTGGCAGTCTCTGTGCTAAACACTAAAAACATAATTCTCATTTCACTGAGTCCTCTAAGGAAGTGACTGTCATTATGCTCGAGGAAATTCAAGCTACAGAATGATTAAGTAATTTATTTAAAATCGCAGCTAGGATTTGGAAATGAGTTTAAGTAGAATTTCTGGCTGCTTTGGCATGTTGTCTTCTTCCGGCCATCCTATTCAACCACACCAACCCAACAATTAACAAGCCCAGTAACCAAGGAGACCAGGTTGGGGAGACCGGACAGTGCATGTAGATATAAATAAATCAGCACATGGCAGGTGTGGTTCATGTAGTCAGGACCTATAAAATCCCCTACGTATTCTGAAACCTAGAAGATTGGTTCTTGTCACTGTGTAAGAAGTAACAGACATTTGATGTAAACACTTAGGAAAATAGGAAAAAAAATCATGTAAGTCTTCCTGCGACTCAGAGAAAATCTTTTTTTTTTTTTGGGTCAGTTGTGGGGTTGAACTCGGCCTGGGCGCTGTCCCTTAAAGCTTCAGCTCAAGGTTAGCGCACTACCACTTGAACCATAGCACCAGTTCCAGTTTTCTGGTGGTTCATTGGAGATAAGAGTTTCATGGACTTTCCTGCCTGGGCTGGCTTTGAACCTTGATCCTCAGATCTCAGTCTCCTGAGTAAGCTAGGATTACAGGTGTGGGCCACCAGTGCCCAGCTTCAGAGAAAATCTTTGATCATTGAGATCTTGATATTTCCTTCTTGTTCTTCCTCCAACAGAGAAGCATTCAAGAGATTTCTAGTGGGCACGGTCTATGCTGTCCATGAGGGGATCACTCGCTTCATGTACTATATGATGAGCATGTAATGCCTGGCTGGTCCAGTTGAGCTGTGCTGTAATTTCAGAGTACAATAGGAGATGGACTATGGCCTGAAGACTTGACACTGAAAGAAAAAAGCCTGAACCATAATCTCAGGATAACTTGTTATATCAGATTTTTAGTATGTTGGGCCAAATGTTATAAAAATTAATTTTCAGGCAGGGGCTGTGACTCAAGAGTGCTGTGCTTATTTAGAAAGTTCAAGGCTTTGAGTTCAAACTCTACCCCCCCATCCCCTTCCCCCATTCCATATATATATATATGTATGTATATATGTATATATACATACATATATATAGTTTTTTCTTCTTTTAAAAGTGTGGCTCATGGGCTGGGAATGTGACTTAGTGGTAGAGTGCTTGTTTAGCCCTGGGTTCGATTCCTCAGTACCACATAAACAGAAAAACCAAAAGTGATGTTATGGCTCAAGTGGTAGAGTGCTAGCCTTGAGCAAAAGAAGCTCAGGGACAGTGCCCAGGCCCTGAGTTCAAGCTCCAGGACCAGCAAAAAAAAGAAAAGAAAAAGTGTGGCTCTTCAAAAATGAAAATGTGAATGTATGGCTTGTGTTACGTTCCTTTTGGCAACACTGGTTGAAACTATTTTGAATAACCAGTATGTTTTTCCTGTCTTTTCACAATTTCATGTTGCATTTATCATTTATTATGCCCAGGCAGGGGTTAGTTCCAGCTGTTGGTTATTAGATATAATATTGGTCAATATTATCCATGAAGCTATTTGTAGGCATGTTTTCCCTAGGAGGGATTCTGGATGGGAAGTGACAACAACTTCAGAGGTTCTCATCATGGAGGGAGGAGCGAGTATGAGGCCACAGGAGTGTTCAGCACTGAGAAGCCCTTGGGACCGTTTCAATCGCCAGTGACCTTCTATGGCACAAGGTCAATGACTCTCTTAGACTGAAAGGGTGGGCTGAAGTAGAGGTTGAAGGAAACTTGTGTGTGAGACATTTAATTCCTTGAGCTCAAACAGTTGGACAGATACCCACACACAATGAGGATAATGAGCTACAATCTCCATCCATCTCCCCACCCATCTTCCTGCCTGACATTTTCTACTACACAGGAAGGAGGACTGATGTGTGATGGTCACAGATAGAAAGCCAAGGACTTGCACTGAAGAATCGAATGGCTTCTCCAGTCCCCTAGTTGAGTCCCACCATGCCTCCTCTCTCCAGAGGATCTCAGGGACAGATGCAGCTATCTCCACACCCACATCTACTTTGGGGACACTGTGGCCTGAAAACAGCTCTGTGAAAGGGACAGATCTGCTAAACTCCAAATTTGTGCCTTCTTTCTTGTCCTAAGACATCATGTCTTTGGCAGATGGCCTTGCTCCCCGAGGGACTTCGCTCCAGACATCTGAAGGATGTAGGATACTCAACTTCATTGCTATCTATTGGCAAGGGGGCCTGGTTTTCCCAGGGCAGAAGACAGTATCTTGGAGTCCAGCTGCAGGGGCTCTTATGGCCTCTGGAGAGCTTTATAGTGGCAGCCATTACAGAGGTCTCCTTGCCACACCCAGTGATGTAGCAGATAAGGGGTCAGACACTATGTGGGGTTAAGCTGCACTGAGTGGCTGGCCAGTGAGCAGCTAGCTTGGATCTAGGAATCAGGGAGGCAGAGGCAGTACAACCCAAAAGCCAGGTGGAAGTTGGGAATGGGGGTGTTGGCTAGGGTACAGAGCTCTGTGGGAATGGAGGGTCACCGTGAGACAGCAACAGTTCTGGTTAGCCTGTGACCGCTACACTTGGCAATTGTGAGGTAGCTCACAAACTAACCTGTCTAGGGCAGGGCTTTTGTTTGCTTCCTTTTGTACACCGATGGCCCATCTGCCCATCCCAGTATGGAGTTGCATTTTCACCATCTGATTGCTCAAGCCCCTAAACCAGGAGCTGGCCCTGATTGCTCTTCAGGACAAGTTGTAGACTTACCTACCTCTTCTACTCCCACCCCTGGGCCACTTCCATATGCAGCAGCCTCTCAGTAGGCTCCTTGTTTTACCATTTATCCCTTCACCCCATTTTCCACCTGGAATGACTCAAGAGATGCCTCGGAAGCTTTAGCCTCTGCTGGCCTCTCCTTGACTTCACCTGGCTCCCTTTCTTCTGCTCACATGTCCTCTGACTTTTGTTCTCGCTCCTCTCCTCCCTGGAATGCTCTGTGACTCATCTGGACACCTCCCTCTCCTAGAGGTTCCCTGCATAACGCCCCTAGATGGATTCAAAATATCACCCACGCTTTAGTCTCTAGCAGTGCACTGTGGTATATTTTGTCATTAACACTAATGGAATTGTCTAGTATACTTGTATCCTGTTTATGTACTTGTGTACTTTCTGTTGATTTTCCATTGGAAAATCAGTTCTATGTGGTAGGCCTGGCAGCTCTGACTTCTTTTTTTTGGGTCCAGTCGTGGGATCTGAACTCTGGGCCTGGGCGCTGTCCCTCAGCTCTTCAGCTCAAGGCTAGCGCTCTACCACTTGAGCCACAGCGCCACTTCCGGCTTTTTTCTTTTTGCTTATGTTGTGCTGAAGAGTCAAACCCAGGGCCTCAGGCATGCAAGGCAAGCGCTCTACTACTGAGCCACCTTCCCAGCCCCATAAATAAGTTTTTAAAATGTAGTTGGAGCTGGGCACTGGTGACTTACTCCTATAATCCTAGCTATACAGGAGGCTGAGATCTGAGGATTGCGGTTGGAAGCCAGCCCAGGCAGAAAAGTCCATGAGACTCTATATCTCCAATAAACTACTCAGAAAATGCCAGAAGTAATGCTGTGGCTCAAGTGGTAGAGTGCTATCTTCAAGGCCGCCCTGTATCTAAATCCCTAGCACTGTGATATAACAAATGAATGAATGAATGAATGAAGTAAAAAAAAAAACATGGAAAGAGAGAGAGTGTATTTCACCATAATATGGCAGGTGTAACAAGCATTTGGTTTTAAGTGAGTGGTGACAGGTTACTCTTAGCTCTGGCTTTCGGTCTAGATCCTTCAAGAGAGGCCCATAACGAGCCACCTTTCTAGCCTTGTCCAGTTCCCATGAGTCACCTTCAGGTAGAGTCCTGGGAGAGAGAGTTGGCTTTTCAGGGGAGATGGCCTCCTCAAGGAAAGCTGAGCAGGAAGGTAGGTGGAGGAGCCAGGACTCCAAAGAGTCCTTCCAGCACTGCCTCTGGCTAGCACCCGTCTCCTTCATTCAGGAGTCTTGTTTTAGAAGGTTACTGCTATTTGGTTGTTAGGCTGCACCAATGGTCACCTTGGGGTCATAGGCCTCATAGCTGGAAGCTGACACATAGCCACATCTGGAATATAGTAGTGCTCTAATGCATGGAGCAGCTGCCCAATAGAATTACACAGTGCTAGAGCTCTTCACTGCCCCATTGAATGTGGTAACACCTGAAATGACAAGAACCTGAAGGTCACATCATATTTTGTTGTAATGAGTTATAAATGATGAAGACATTAGTTGTTCCTATGCTGAGCAATACAAGCTGTTATCTGTTTGGGAAGTGCCCTATGCCCAGAGCTTGACTCTAGACATACAGCTTGGCCTGGGAATGTCTGGCTGGGGTGAGACATAGCTTGAAAAATGGCACTGGTGCTATGACAGAAGCCAGCCTGTGGTGTGGGGGTCAGTGGGTCACCCTGAGAAAACTAATGCCAGGGATGGCATCCCTGAGGGCTAAGAATGGACAGGGAAGAGCACTTAGACTAGGAAAGTAGATCTGCTTAGACCTGGAGTTTAGAAAGCTGGCACTGCTCCTCACTGGAGCAGCAAAGAAGAGTGAGGGAGGAGGCTAGCTGTCAAATGGTTTGGTTCAGGGGAACTCCGTGCATAGAGTGCAG